CGTCGCCTCTCCGGAGCCCCCTTCCTGCCCGGCTCCGGGTTGTGGACTGGCTGCGTCTGCAGCCGTCGCGCTCGTTCTTCTCCGTGACGTGAGACCCACCTAGCCCCATCAACCCTGCTCTGCTTTAGCTCGGGCCCTCCCAGCTCAGCTCCGCACCTGGCTTGTGACCGGCCTTTGGAGCGGGCTGCTTGCTCTGGTGCCCCTGGCCTGTGCCGTGGCCGCAGGGTCTCTGACAGCACCGATGGCCGGCATGGCTTCCCTGCGGGTCCGCGGGGCGTGCGGCACGCTGGGCTCGCCCGGTCTGCAGTGACGGTGGTAGGGGACCTGCAGGGAGGACACATCTGCAGGCGGCACTGGGATGGTGCCTTCGAGGCTTCAGGACGGGGTAGTAGGGAGGGAAACCGCTGTGCTCTGGGTGTGACGCTTTCCGTCCTTCCCATTCAGCCCATTTTGTGCAGACACGCGAGCTGCCCCGTGGAGGCATCGGATACCCTTGCTCCAGCTGATTTGGGCACGGTGCCCCTGCCTCGGCCGTGAGACGTGGCACGAGCCCGACTGCAGGGCATTGCAGCCCCAGACGCGCTGTGCCCGTGGCCTCGGTGGGCGCAGACGCCCCCGGCCGCCGACGCGGGGCTCTTGCATCAGCTCTTGCGCTGGAGCCATTTTGAAGTAGCCCTGAGCTGCTGGCGCTCTTTGCCCCGGGCGGGCGCCGGGAAGCTCGGCTTGTTTGTTTTTGAAGAGGCGCCGGCCAGGCCGGGGCGGCAGGGCCCTCTGCCGGCAGCAGGCGAGCCCGGAGGGGCGCGGGACGAGCCCGGGGCAGGGCAGGGGTTGGAAGTCCTGTCTGCAGGGTCTGAGTTGATCGTGGGAGGTGGGTTTTCTTCCGTGCCACATGCCTAGTGCCACGTTGTCCTCTCTGCTCCGGTCCGAGCCTCCCCACTTGCAGCCCCCCATTGCCCTCTTGCCCTCAGTTGCTTTCCCCTCCGGGCTGTGAACCAAAGCAGCCTGCACGAGCCGCATTAACGTCTCTGGTACTGGTTTGGTGCTGGGGGGGTCTGGGACCCCAGTACACCTGCCCCTAACCCTGCTCCGCTCCCTCCCTGGCAGTGACCTTCAGGGACTGCCCAGAGAGACGGCGGACGGTTTATTCCCCGAGTGACACGCGGTTCCGGGTGCAGACGGACGGCCTTGTCCAGGTGAAACGTGCTCTGCAGCTCCACGACCATGAAATCAGCTTCCACGTGCACGCCTGGGACTCCACCGGCCGCAAGCACTCAGCCAGGGTCGTCGTCCAGAGGGAGCGGGGCCAGCACGGCCGCCACGTGGTACGGGGACATCTTGCTGCACCCCAGTGCTGTGCTGGGGGTCTGTCCCTTCCCCAGGTTGTCCCAGAGGAGATGGCTCGGGGCGTTCCCCTTCCCCTCGTGGCTGCTCCCAGAGCCCCATCACCTTGGGCAGCCGGAAGAGTGCCCCCCAACCCCTTTACTGGGGCAGCCCAACCCCCTTAATGCCCCCTTTCCTGTGCGCTGGGTGCAAGCCCAGAGCTGGCAGGCAGCTCGCACGCCCGCCCTCCCGCCTCACCCCTCTTGACTGGAAGCTGGAAGTGCCTTGCAGTTCCCGTCGTGCCGGGTCTGGCATTACATAAGTAAAAGCTTTCGGCTAATGGATCCGTGAGCCGTTAGCAGGCGGCGGAGGCAGTGCCCAGATCGCTGAGCCGCTTGCACGCCCTCCTGCCTGGCGGCCACTAGTGCAAGGACCCTGTCTCAGTGTGGCCGGTCTCTCCGTAGGACGCTGCACTGGGCACTCGGGCGGACGTGCTGACCTTCCCGGAGTCCCATCCTGGCTTGAAGAGGCAGAAGAGGGACTGGGTCATCCCACCCATCAACTGCCCGGAGAATGAGCGGGGCCCCTTCCCCAAGCAGCTGGTCCAGGTACGGAGGAGCCTTCATCTCGGCGCTGGACCTGGTCTGGGGGCTGTTGGGTGGGAGAGGGCTGAGGGGGAGGCTGGGGAGCCGGGGGGGCTGCACAGGTGTGTGGAAGGTCTCACAGCTGGGCCCAGGACGGTGAGGAGCTGCTTTGTGGGACCCCCCGCCCTGGGACAGGCCCCGTGCATGTTCCCTGGCTGACCCTGCCACTGCTTCTCCCCCAGATCAAATCCAACAAGGACAAAGAGACCACGGTTTTCTACAGCATCGTGGGGCCCGGCGCGGACGAGCCCCCCGTGGACACCTTCCGAATCGAGCGGGAGACGGGCTGGCTCCTGGTGATGAAGCCGCTGGACAGGGAGCAGATCCCCAAGTACATCGTGAGTCCGGGTGCCGCGGGGCAAGGGGGTGGCAAGCTTCCACATCCCACTGTCTGGGTGCTTGCATCCAAGCCTGGGGCCAGGGGAGGAGGTGGGGGTTTCTTGGGGATGGTTCTTCCCTGCTCCGGCACCAGCTCTTTCCCTGAGACCTGCTCCTGAATGAGGTGTAGGAGCTTCGTCCCCATCAGACTCGGGCCCCGGGAGCGTTGCAGCTGGGTTCTGCATTTGCTGGCTGCCTTGGCAGTGCCCTGGGGTCGTGCATGGAGCTGCATGGTGAAGAGCCTGGACTTTCCCCAGCTCTGAGCCCCTTGCCCGGCAGAGTGGAGAAACTCTGGGCTTGTGGCAGTCATGGCTTGAGGGAGTGGGCAGGGGGTGTCTCTGCAGGGCCCGGGGGCAGTGAGCTGATGCCTCGCGGCCCTGTGCTCTTTCCAGCTCTTCTCCCACGCCGTGTCTGCCAACGGGCAACGCGTGGAGGACCCCATGGAGATCATCATCACGGTGACGGACCAGAATGACAACAAGCCCCAGTTCACCCAGAACGTCTTCACGGGCAGCGTCGAGGAAGGAGCCAAGCCGGGTAACTGAGCCAGGGGCCGGCTCAAGCGTGGGCCAAGGGGTGCCGGCCCAGACCTGCATCTTGGGGATGTTCCCATAAAACTGGGCGACAAGGGCTGACTTACAGCAGCACAAAGCCTTGAGGGGCAGCACTGGGGCTATAGATGCCAGGGAAGGGGGGACTCTCCATCACTGGAGGGGGCCAAGGGGAGGGTGGACAGCCTCTGGTCGGGGTGATCTAGGTGCAGCGATGCCGTGCTCTACTATGGATATTTCCCATGCTTCTGGGCATTGCTGGTTGCCCCTCACCTCCTTTCTGCTCCATGTATCGGGGGTTTTAAGTCTCCCTCGGAGGCGCTGGATGCATCCCAGGCTGGGGGCTGGGCTGTGCCCTTGGGACTCCAGGCTAAGGGACGCTCTGTGTGGGTGGGCGATGGGGGCCAGGAGAGGAGGGCTTGGTGTGACACTCGAGGCAGGCTCAGAAGAGGGAGCGCGCAGGGCAGGGATGGGTGGAAATGCCCTGCCGGCTGCTTGCCTCCCTGCAGGGCTGTTCCCTACCATAGTTTCATAGTCTGTAGGGTCAGAAGGGACCTGAGCAGATCATCAAGTCCGACCCCCTGCCATAGCAGGAAAGAGTACTGGGGTCAAACCATGCCACCCTGCTTCAGACGCATCCCTGTGTTAACGAGCACCCTTGCTTTCCTGCTCCTGTTCAGGAACCTCCGTGATGCAGGTGACTGCCACGGACGAGGACGACGCCATCAACACCTACAACGGGGTCGTGGTGTACTCCATCGTGACTCAGGAGCCCCAAACCCCCCACAGCCATATGTTCACCATCAACAAGGACAACGGCATCATCAGCGTGATTGCGACAGGGCTGGACAGAGAGGTGAGGGCCCTGCAGAGCGGGGAGGATGGGTGCCCTGCGGTCCGGGCGGTGGCCAGTGCATCTGCTTGGCATGACGGCTGGGTCTTGTGGGGAGGGGCAGGCCCAGGCCTCACGTCAGCGCTCGGGGGCTGCTCTGGTGGCAATGAACCCATCTACCATTACTGCGGGGACATGGCCCTGCTTCCTGACGCTAACCCCACTGTGATCTTGCTTGCAGAAAATCCCCGAGTACACACTGACTCTCCAGGCAGCTGACATGGAAGGCACTGGCTTGGTCACCACCGGGACAGCCGTGATCGAGGTCACTGACACCAACGACAACGCCCCGTTCTTCCAGCCAGCCATGGTAAGTGGCCGCCAGCCCGCTGCCCGTTCTCTGCGTTGCCCCGTTCCCCTCCTGCCCGGGGGCTCTGCTGATGCTGGCTGGGCAGTGATTGCAATGTGTAGCCTCATTTGTAGTGGGAGGGTTGCAGATCTGGTGGTCTCCAGGCCAGGCAGGCATCTGGTGGGGAAGCTTTATGAATTGTGCCCTGCTAAACATCAGTGACAGACGCACAGCAGCTCCCTCCCGAAGAAGCTCGGTCCGGCTGTGTGACCCAAGGCCCTGGCCCGCCAGCTGTCGTGGCTGGTGAGCAGTGACCTGGGCCGACTGCGCTGAGGCTGGAGGGATGCCGTTCATCCCTGCTGGGGACTGTGCCCGCCAAGGCTATTATGGAATAACAGTGGCAGGGATTTGGGTCTCCCATCCCCGGAGCCCGGGACTGTCCATCCCCATTGCACGGTGCACCATGCTGTGTTGCCTCCGGGAGCCCCCAATGCAGCTCTACCCAGTGTTGGGTCCTTTGGGAGCTACATGCTGCTGCTGTGAGGGGCTCTGTCCCATCCGCAAGGGCTGGAGGCTACAGCTTTTGGCTTCGAATGAGTTTTCTGGAGCCAGGAGAAGTCCAGACTAGGCCTGATGCCGTGAGGCAGCCCAGCGGTGGGAGCTGCTTGGTGCCATCCAGCCTGCATCTCGTTTTGCAGTACGAAGCCACCGTGCCCGAGAACGAAGTGGGCTTTCTGGTGGCCCGGCTGACGGTGGTGGATGAGGACAGCCCAGACTCGGAAGCCTGGAGGGCCGTGTACCAGTTCCAGAAAGGGAACGAGAACGGCGACTTCGTCATCACCACGGACCCCAAGAACAACGACGGTGTCCTGAAAACAGCCAAGGTGAGTCGCACCCTCCCAGCCCATGCTCCACCTCGCTGGCTGTCCTGGGGCAGCACGTGGCTGGCTGGTGATGTGCCTCCAAAGCAGAGAGCCTTCTGGAGGCCCCGGTCTCCTTCCCCACAAAAACCAGGCCCCAATCTCGTGTCACGTGGCAAGAGCAGGGGGAATGTGGGGCAGTCCCATGTTAGCCCAGAGCTATGCTGTGCATCGGCAATCCTCAAGCGGGGTGCTGCGGTACTCCAGGGCATCGTGAGATCTTTTTAAGGGTGTTGTGCAACCCCTGGTAGGCCCCTTACCAGCTTAATCTGTCCCTGGACAGGGCTGAGTGCCTCAACGGAGCTCAGGGCATAGTCCCCTGCACGTCCCAGCCTGGTTGCTCCCTTGCTGACGTTCATTGCATGGTCTGGTGATGAGAACCGGATGCTGGGCAGCCTGTGGTTTGCCCTTGGCCTTGCTGCAGGTCTTCCAGGCTTCCTTGTCATCAGCCCATTGGGGTGCTGCCTTGCGGAGGGTGGGCACCAGTCCTCTGAGCACAGGTGGCACTTGGGTTTCTGGTGGAAGATGCCAGGGGGGTGATGTGCCTCTGGGGGATCTGCAACCCAAGCGTATGACGAGTAGAGCCGCTGTGGGTGGCATCCAGCCAGACCATGAGGGCAGCCCGGGGCTCAAAACCATCTCCCTCCTCTCTGTACCGGCCAGGGCTTGGATTTTGAGAACCAGAAACGCATGGTCCTGTACGTCACTGTCATAAACAAGAGCCCCTTCGCCGTGAATCTCCCGACCTCCACCGCCACCATCACCATCGACGTGCAGGACGTAAATGAAGCTCCCATCTTCATCCCCCCTGTCAAAAGCGTGAGCGTGCCTGAGGACCTCCCTGTAGGACAGGAAGTTACCTCCTACACGGCGCAGGACCCGGACAAGAGCCAGGGGCAGACAATCACGTAAGATGGGTGCCCCCGGGGTGATGTTCAAGTGGCCGGGGTAGCACCAGAGGGAGCAGGGCCAGCACGGCCGCCACGTGGTATGGAGACAAAAGGAAGCTGTTTTTGCATGGCTTGTAATTAAGAGAGCTAATTGCAGCAGCAGGCAGTAGAGGCTGTTGGGCTAGTCAGGGTTGGGGGCCTGGACAGACAGGGGGAGTAGATCTGTCCAGGGAGGTTGCCTCAGTCCCATGACATCCTGCACCTGGGACTGCTGCTGACCAGGACAGTGGGAGGGGGAAGCTCGCCGTCTGCAAGACCAGACACTGGGCTAGCTGGGCCCTCTGTCCGGCGGCTCCTAGGTTCTCCCCCATCTCCATTGCTTGCTCCCTTGAGGAGAACGAAGGGCTGAGTGTCCGGGCGGTTCAGGGCTGAACTGCACCCACAAACCTGCTCTGGCTTTGCACGGGCTGGGGCTGAACGTGAACAAGCCACTGCTCCATGCCCTGTGGCACGTGCAGCTGGACACAGCTCAGCAGAACTGCCCCAAACCCCCTGAGCTGGAACTCGGGCGGTCTCCAGCCCCCTGCCTGGGTCTCTTCCCTTCAGCCTTCCCCCTAGCTGGAGGCTGACATAGGCTCGGCTGCAGTCTGCAAGGGGAGGCAGGCCAGGCAAGCCCCTAATGCAGCCTGGAGCCCCCTCCCACCACCCCAGTCCCTTCCCAGCCCTTCTGCTCTAAGACCAGCTCCCTGCCCGTACAGCTACAGCTTGGTAAACTCCCCCTTGGGCTGGCTGACGATCGACCCGCAGAACGGCATCATCACCTCTGCCAAGCAGCTGGACAGGGAGTCCAGCTCCATCGTCAACAGCACCTACAAGGCCATCGTGCTGGCTGTGGACAATGGTAAGCCAGGCTCTCTCCCCTTCCCTTCATGCAGCAGCCACGTAAGAGCTCAGGGCAGCACACGCTGCAGTCTGGAGCAGGAAAAGGGAGAATTGTGTGTCCAGCACAATGTCCACAGCCCTACTGGGATGGGGAAGGTAGCTACAGCCTGCTGTCACAGCAGAGACCTAACTCGAAGCTGCAGGCCTGAGTGGTGTAATGCTCCCTGGTGCCCTGCAAGGATCAGTGACCCGAACCCTGCCCGTCCAAAAGCGCATCTCCCCGTGGTTGTCAGGCGGTGAAAACGGATGTGGGAGGCAGGTCAGGGGTCAAAGAGCAGACAGATGTGGCTTCTGCACTTCCCTCTGGCTGAAACAGCCCCCTCTGTCCATCAGGCTCCCCACGGACCACCGGCACGGGAACCCTCATCCTGACCCTCCTGGATGTGAACGACAATGGGCCGGTGCCAGATCCACGGGAGTTTGACATTTGCAACCAGAACCCCGTGGTGCAAATGCTGCACATCGTGGACAAGGACCTGCCCCCAAATACGTCCCCCTTCAAGGCAGAGCTGACGCATGGCTCCAGTGCCAACTGGACCGTGACTCTGAGTGCACAGGGTAAGTGGCTGCAGCATATGGCACGTGCCTCTTGGCTGGCTGTGCTGGGGCTGTCCCAGGACCTGGGCCCAGGCCATGCCTCATTTGTGGGTCTGTCCAGGCTGGCAGTGCAGGGCCGACCTTGGGAGCTGGGGCAGTCCCTGTTTCTTTATTCACTGAGCTGCAGAGGAGAGGCTTGCTTGGGGTTGCCAAATGCTCTAGTTGCCCATATGCCCGTGGCTTCCATCACACGTGGGGCTGGGGCTTTCTTGCTGGTCCACCCAGCCAGAGATGGGGCCTTTGCATGCCCCAGGCAGCAGACTTGTCCCAGGCAGGACTTGGAGGCCAGGCAATGCCAACAGTCCCCTATGAACCAAAATGGCTGGTGGAGGGGAAGGCTCCCAGAGCGAGACTGCTGGGACCCCAGTACCTTGCTGCAGGTGGCCTTCGGAGTAGGGAAGGGGGCTCGAGCTTCCCCCTGGTGCTGGCAGGTGCCCATCCTGGTGCTGCTTTGGAGGTGTTGTCTTCCCTCTGCTCCAGCCCACGCTGATGCTATCCCCCAGAGACAGGCCATGGCTTTCCTATGGGACCCTGTACCAGCGCTGTACGCTGCTCAGGGCCTGCAACCCTCTGCCTCCAACATCCTAGCTGTTTCCAGGTGTGTCTCTGGCTCCTAACCCTAAACCCTGCTCTTGCCCCCAGGGGAAGACCTGGCCCTCCGTCTTCACAAGCAGCTGGAGGCCGGGGAGTACAACATCTTCCTGCAGCTGACGGACAGCCAGGGCCAGTCCCAGACGACCATTGTGAAAGCCCGTGTGTGCGACTGCGATGGGGAGTACAAGCAGTGTGACCGCCGGGGGTACTATGCCGCAGGTGGCCTGGGCGTCCCTGCCATCCTGGGCATCCTTGGGGGAATTCTTGCCCTGCTGAGTGAGTACCGTGTGTGAGACACCCTCATGCCCCGCAGCTAGACTGCTAGCACTTTGGAGAGCGAGGGGCAGGCCTCTAGCTCTGGCTTGTGACGTGCGTTTGCAGCTAAGACCAAGTGCGGGCATCCGAATCCCAAGAGCCTGCACGTGGGATGCCTGGCAATAGATATGGGAGTATCTGAAGTCCCAGGGTGAGAGCCTGTGACAGAGGATGCTCACTGGTTGTAGCACCGTACATGGTGTTTAAAATGATTGAGCTGTGCCTGCTCAATCAATATGGTTTTTGGAACAATTGAATTCTGCTCTGTCAATATGATTTGGAGTTGATTTAACCTGGAACATAAAATATATTAATTAAAAAAAAAAAAAAAATGTGCATGCATTTGCAGCTGAGGCCTAGCAGACTCTGAGCTGCAGCTGGGAGGCAGGGGTCTCCCCGGCTGGAGCCACACATGAGGGGCCATGAGCTGCACAAGCTGGCATTGCTAGCCCCTGAAGGAGCCTCTCTTGCTTCTTCTGCCTTCCAGTCCTGCTGCTCCTGCTGCTGCTCTTCGTCAGGAGGAGGTCGGTGGTAAAAGAGCCCTTGCTTCTGCCGGAGGATGACACCAGGGACAACGTCTATCAATATGATGAGGAGGGTGGGGGAGAAGAAGACCAGGTGAGCCTGGGGCCCTGTCTGCTGCTTTAGGAGGATCCCGGTCTGAGGGGACAGGGCAGTGTCTTTGCATGGCCCCCACCACTTCCCTGCAAGCTTGGTCCTGCCAGAGCAGCCATGCACAGTGCCGTCCTCTCGAGGCAAGATGCCCTCTCGAGCAAGCTGGCAGCAAGGCTTGAGCGTGCCAGGCAGCCCACGCAACACTGGCAGTGCAAGTGCACAACGGGGTCCTGGCCCTGGTGCAACTGTGCTCTGAGCAAGGAGCAGCTCCTGGTGACCGCTGTCCCCTTGCCCTCCACAGGACTATGACCTGAGCCAGCTGCACCGAGGCCTGGACGCACGGCCTGAAGTGACCCGCAATGACGTGGCACCACCCCTTATGGCGGCCCCGCAGTACCGCCCGCGCCCCGCCAACCCCGACGAGATCGGCAATTTCATCGACGAGGTGAGGCTGGTGCTGGGCTCCCTGGGGCTATGACTTCAAAGGGTCGTCCCAGCTTTCCTGGTGGGGGATGCTCTCAAGTCACTGCAAAACCCCTCTCCCCTTTCCAGAACCTGAAGGCGGCCGACACGGACCCCACGGCGCCGCCCTACGACTCCTTGCTGGTGTTTGACTACGAGGGCAGTGGCTCTGAGGCCGCCTCGCTCAGCTCCCTCAACTCCTTTGGCTCCGACCGCGACCAGGACTACGACTACCTGCACGACTGGGGTGGCCGTTTCAAGAAGCTGGCCGATATGTACGGGGGTGGCGAGGAGGAGGAGGAGTAGCTGCCTTGCGGGGGCGCAGATACATGTTGGTTGGTTGCTTTGACCCCTTAAGTTTAGCTCAGCTTGGGCACTGCTCTCCCTGAGCTAGGAGTGGATGACTGAAATTCCCTTTCTGTAGCCCATGCTAGCACCCCTCAAATTGGCCGTTTCTCTGCTGTGGTCTAGGTTCCTGGCATCCCAGCTAAGGCTGTCCAGGCTTGTTAGGGAAAAAAAGTTCTGTTGCAGGTGCATCTAGGCTGGGGTGCACCCAGCATCTTAGTGGCAGTCTGTCAGGGGGAAATGGGTCTTGTCCACTGCTTTGGTCCCTGCATGTGTTGCCCCATCTGGGCTGAAGGTAGAGCAATGCACGCAGGGACAGGCCGATCCTCCATGTTTTAGCAGGTCCAGACTGCGTTGTAGGAGCACAGGCAACCAACCTCTGTCTCCCCTCTTCTGGCTCCTGTCCCTGGGCTGGGAGCTTCTGACTGTTTCAGCTGTCCGTGTTTGGACTGGGTCTTCCGCTGCCAGCCCTGGGCTCCCACGTGCACCTGTGCGCGTGGCAGAGACGTGGTGCCTGGCTGCAGGCTCTATGCAGTGTGGCAGGAGGAAGCACTTAGTGCTGCACCACTGTCTCCTGCCTGCCTAGCCTTTCTTGCTGCCCACATTTGGGGACAGGAGCCTGCCCCGCTCTTGACCACTTCCCTCCCCTCAATGTCACAACAAGGTGACCATCTTTAGCCCCTTCAGAATACCTCAATCCAAAGGGAAGAAGTGTCAGAGCAAATTTGCTGCAGGGCTGGCCATGCCTGCAGGGTGCCTAGAGGCTAACAGACTCGGCTGGAGGTAGCTGCCCACCCAGAAGGTACAAGGCAGTCCAGCACAGGGCTGAGATGCAGGGAACGTTGCCAGAGATGCTGAATTTTCAGGTGCCATTTGCTTTTAATCTTGCCTTGATTTGGTTCCATTAGCCGAGGTGCACTTTGACACTTAGCGCTGTGAACTGCAATGACCAAAGATGCTATTATCTTTCCCGCTGAGCAAGCACAATCATGAGCTTGTGGCTGGGGTGAACTTTGCCCCGGGACATCCTCAAGGAACTAACAGCAGATAGGTCCCCTCTCATGTGGGGAGTCTCTGTTGACAGCTGTCCAAGTGCCTCTATGCTGCGTAGGGATCAGCATGTCCTTACGCATGCTACATGCCTGTTTTTCTCTTGTGCTTCCTCCCCTGCCCCTAAAATATTGGATTATAAGCCAAACTACAGTGAAGCACGGCTGACGCCTTCACCCCTGCCTGCAGCTGAGGGCTATGGTATCCTTTCCAGCCTCAGTTCATGACTCAGAAGCAACACATCATCCCAATGCTTGGTACCTAGACAAATCTGTGCCCTGGATGAATAGGTGCCATATGAAAAAGTGACCGTCTCACCCCAGAGCCATGCTGTATCTTTGTAGAAAATTGTACCTGCGCTTGCATGGGGGAAGAGTTGCTCTGTTATTAGAGGGATTTTTTCCACTTGCATAGCATTTTAGTAGGGTGCCTTTATTCAATATAATAGATGCCAGCAGATTTCTATTTTTCCATCATACCAGATCATAACATTCCTTCCTTCTGCATGTTGTCCGATGTATCATATTTTCCGTGTAGTAACGGTGCATTTAATGACCTTTAAAAAAGCCAGTGACTTTACCTGGGTTCTCAACTGTATATTTAGCTGCCTTCATACTTTGTATTTGTCTGTGAAAGGGAATGGGGGTATGATGCACACCAGGAGATAAGTGATGGCTTGGTGTTTAATTTGATCATCCGTTTTTATAAAATTTTTAATAAATTTGTTTTTAAGAAACTCTGCGCCTTTCTTTCTTCCTTTAAGGCTCACAGCCCATATGCTGCCTTTGCTGCCCTTGGTTAGGCAGGTGTATTGTCACTGAGCTTTTTTAAGTTCAGTGCTGGAAGTCAAGGCTGTCCCCGGAGAACAAGGCTGTGATTTCTCAGGTGGAGCCCAGCTGGTTCCCTTGGTGAAGCACAAAAGCTGAATGCTTTCTGCATCCTCTTCTTGTTTTAATGACAATACGGAAATAGCTTTCAGAACAACCATGCTCCAGTGAGACCAACCCCGTGTGTCATGCGTGGAGCTGGTGCAAGCTCAAAGCTGTCAGTGAGGACTGGAAAAAAATCTTGCCATGGCTTTTCTTGCCCAAAAAACTAGTAAAGGGACCCACTTGGGGCCTGCTCGGTGCACATTAGACACATGAAAAAGTAGAACTAGAAAAGGGAGCTTTGGGGGAAGTACAGAACAGCCCAGGTACCAGCCAAGACCTCAGGGAAAGGCCTCCTCTCCTCTCCACTAGAGCAGGTTGGCTACCTCTCTCTCTGTTAGCTGTGTTCATCTGAAGCCAGTCAGAAAGCAGGGTAGGCCTGCGCCTTTATAGGCTAACTGTATGACATATACAGGGAGCGCATGCTTTTGTGAACCCAAGTTCACTTCCTGAGTATGGGGATACCCGCAAACCGCCCTAGGGGAGATGAGGCTTCTCCCAGCAATTCAGTCTTTACCCACCAGAACAATTACTTTAATTGAACTGTCCCGTTGCCTCTAACTCTGCATCTAGCAGCCTATAGAAGGGATGGAGCTGCCCACCGTCAGAAGCATGTCTACCATGCCTTGCAGCACTGCTGGAAATTGGAGTTTGCAGGAATTTTTTTTTTCTAAACCTGAGTGCTGGAGCTGACTGCACAAGGTAAGCGACTCCTGTGTACTTGTTTGTGCTTGGGAGAAGCTGGACAGCAGCCCTTGAGCTGGACCTGGAACAGGGAGGGAACACTTCTAGGAGAGGTGCTGAGACTGCATGTGATGTAGCTGCTCCCATATGTGCGTGGGGCTGTGAACTCCATCCCTTCTGCTGTGATGTGGGTCAGAAGCTGGAGGGAATTGCTTACTCCAGTTACATCAGAGGTGGAATGGCTCCATGCAATGTCAGACAACGGCTTAGGCTGGAGGAGAGATACCATATCCAGTAGGAAGTGATCCAGGGCTGGGAGGTGGATGCCTGGCTCTTAGAAGTTCCTGGGCTGTGAATGACCATAGGCCAGCATCTCCGGGGGCACCGCCTCCAAAACACTAGGGAAGGTGCGCTCATCCGCGCCTAAGGGGGCCTATGGGAGAGCTCTCTGCTCATCCTCCGATAGCAGAAAGCAGCTCCTCTGTCCTTTGTGGTGATCCCTCCCAGTGTTGGGTGATTCTGGATCCTCTTACTGGTGGGAAGATCTCTGGATACAAGCCACCTGTGCCTCCGTCTCCTCCCAAGCTCTGTGCTTGGGTTTATGACCATACTGGGTGCTAAAGGACACCAAAGGAGAGGCAATCTCTGTCCCCAGTGCCAGGCGTCCAGGTAACTGGATAGAAACAATCATTTCCTTAGCAATATCCACATCTGGATACACAGAGAGCTGGAGCATCTAGCACGATGCACCTCTCCTTTCTCCAAAATGCTGTGACTAGCAGGGACTTGCTCTTGTCTATTGTACCTGCGACTCACTGGTTCTGCAACCATTCCTGGGTTTTACTGGGAGAAAGTCTTTGCTGGCAGAAAGAATAACGCTGATCGTTACCAGCAGAGACACCTGGTGTTTGTAGGAGCTCTAACTTGCTTTCAAAACTGGACTTTAGGCAATGGAGACTAATAATAGGCCTGGTATTGTTTACACTGCTGTAAGTGTGCAGCTGCACGAGGAATATAAAGGGATCTGGCCTGATATTCTGGGTACTGACTTATCAGCTGTGTCACGGACAAACGTGTGTCCTGTTTGTCTAATAATAAGTTAAGAGTTGAACTGAACGGAATTGACTGCAGGAAAAGGCATGGCATTAGTTGCCTGTTATCAGACGCTTCCTCAAGTTGATGAAGGCCATTTGTATCTGAAAGCTTGCAAAGAAGAATTTTTCCCAAAAGATATCAGATTTACCCAAAGAACCTTGCGTGCCTATGTCCCTTTTATCAAACTGATAGACGTGGGGCTCCTGATGCCCCATTTGCCAGCACACAGGAGACATCCCTTGATCAAGGAAATGTTGGGAACAGATAAGGTGTCCCATGATTTGCATTGCACCTGGACATCCAGCAGCTCAGGTTCATGCTCTCAGAGGGTGCAGTACTTTTGGAGCCCTTACTGACTCTGCTTTGGTGCCACCAAGTGTTGAAATGCTGCACAGCCATCCCCTCAGATCCGTGGAAACTGCTTTTGGTGAATTACCTGGAGGAGAAAGATTGGAGGCATAACCAGGTTGGATTGGGATCTGACTGATAGCCCCGAACGGCAGCAATGGGCTAACGGCATTTGCTGGTAGTGACTGCTAACACCGATTTCTGCTCTGAGCTGGGAGTGTGTCCGTGGGATATCATGGCCCATGAGTCCTAGGCGATGACAGGACAACTAGGAGCCATGCATGGGAAATGTGACCTGAAGCTGAGTTGGTACCATTGCACCGCTGGACATGACTGTGTACAATTCCAGCTCCCTGTTAAATGCAGACGAATTCACAGCAGCCAGCGAGCTAGACTGCCCGGGAAACACCAGCTCCGTCCTCGCTTCTTCTCTGGAGCAATTCTTCTGCCGCAGGGCATTTGGCCCACAGCAGGGCAAGGTGTTTTATCCCGCAGGGAGCCTGTTTGCAAGCTCTGGGGTTATCGGATGACCCAGACCGGCGGGGCTGGCATGGCAGAGCACAGCACCACGCATCACCTTTGGTAGTGGCTCACAGCACCCGGCTGAGAATCCCTGCTGGAGCCTATGACCTCAGAGAGGCTAAGAGCAGCCGGCATGCTTGTCCAAGCTGAGCGAAGGTGGACAGGGATACGAGCACCCTCCACGACTGCAGCATGAGGGTGAATACTGGGGAGGGCCCATGGCTACTACACCCCTGGCCTGGCCTGACCCTCCCAAGATGGCGGCGAGTCTATGCCTATATAGGTGTGACTCTCCCAAGATGGCGGCAGGCTGATACCTATGCTGCTGACCGTCCCAAGACGGCGGTGGGCCTATACGTATATAGGGGTGACTCTCCCAAGATCGCACCGAATTTATACCTATGCGGCTGACCCTCTCAAGGTGGCGGCGGGCCTATACAGTATTGGGGTGACTCTCCCAAGATGGCGGCAAGCTAATATCTATGCTGCTGACCCTCCCAAGATGGCGTCCAGCTTCGGCCGACCTCTCCAAGATGGCGGCCGGGAGGCAGTCTCGCGCAGGCGCGCTGCGGCGGGCAGCCATGGCCGCGATTTTGAAGCTGGAGCGGGTGGCCCAGGCGCTTGAGCTGCTGTTGGGGAGGCCCGCCGGCGTCGGTGAGAGGGGAGGGGGCGGCTGAGGCCATGCCCCCCCAGATGCATGGTGCATGGCTGAGGCCATCCCCACCCCCAGGTGCATGGCTGGGTGCATGCTCTCCCCCGTGCGTGGCTGAGGCCATCTCCCCCCCACCCCACGTGCATGTTTGGGTGCA